AACGTGACTCGCATTCGAAATTCGCAATTTCGCAAACGCGACGCGCCTCTCTCCGAGTGCGGCACGAATTCGCACGATCTTGCCTTTTCCTCCACAGAAAAAAAGAAATCCTTGATTCAAATATATTTTTATTCTTGAACGCTATTTGATTTAAGCACAGAATGCTTTTTGTAATCACAAATGTTCATTTGTCTTAATAATAAATAAGTTTGTGTAAAGTATATTTTATCCTTAAAATATATTCTTGTTTTAAAAATCATTATATAGTTGAAAGTATCGTTTATATCGGATGCTTACTTGTCCTTGCAATACTTATAAGTAAATTTCAGCTTCAACCACTTTGCACTTTGTTTTAAGGATAAATTATCCTTTATCCAAAATTATTTATATTTGGCGCTATTATAAGGATAAAATATACTTGAATCAAGGCATATTTGCATTCTTTCAAGGATACTGTTTTTCTTTTTCTCTGTCTGCATCTCTTCCTCTCTCTCCTTGCTTTTCACCAAACACGCAAACTCTTCTTTATTCCCTTAGAGATGAGATTTTTGTTTACTTTGTAAATCTTGATTTTCTTTCGTGTTACTCTCGGTAGAAGCGATCTACTACTTTAAACGACACTGTTCCTACGACATCGATCGATTACTTTGAAAAAAGGAGTCCTGATTTCCGCTATCTCTTTCTCTCTTATTTCTCTCACTCTCGCCCGCACTCGCGCATTGCCACAGTTTGTTGTTTGAACTTGTCGAACTTGACAAGCTCTGTCTTTTTTATTTCTGCCTTCGTCACACTTCTCCACAACGCGCTTCTTTCTCTTTCTCTCTCGGATAATAACACTTTTGCACTCATAAGGGGAGCCCGTGACGTGCGATTCATCGATCCCTTATGTTTTTTTTTTTTTTTCGTGAACATGGAACAATTGAATCGTATAAAAAAAGAAATCCCACGTTACGGGCTCCCTTCATCAGCACCCAACTGGAGGAGGCTGATTGCAGGACGCAACGCACCTACGAACAATGACGAGACATCGTCCTTGATGTTGCGTTCGTTTGTTCGACACGATTCGTACTTTTGCATTCATCAATCGGCTCGTTTCTTCGTATGTCGTGAAAGCGCCAAGTTTCTTGGATGTTATTAAAGAAACCAAACAAATACGCTTTTCGAATCGACTGATGGACGCAAGAACGCGAATCGCGACGAATCGAACGGATTCAACGCCACGAATGATTGATTTAAGGGGAGGAAGAGGTAAGGGAAAAAAATTAGGATCAATTGGTCGAAAGACTTAGAGGGATGGATTTCGCGAGAGGGACAATGACGAAGCTCTCGACCTCCCTTCCACCGCGAGGGACTAGACATACCGATCTTATCAACAGTACAATTATAATTATAGAGCTTAGAAACAAAAGCTTTAAAAGAGGGTGACCGCTTTCGACCCCTCTTTCGCTTGCAACCGCTCCGCTCCGCGTCGCAATTTCGTCGGAGGGAGGACGCGAGTTATTTTGGAACACCTTGGGAAATCACATTACGCCTAATAAGATAAAGAGAGAGGGGAAGAGAGAGAGAGGGAGTGTGTGTTTCTTTATCCTTTCCGCCGTTAAACTCGCTGATAAGGACGACGTTTAGCCGAAACAGCGGTTGTTCCCCGACCGAACGCACGGCTCAATGTGACTAGATTAATCGGTAATTACCAGCTTGAGCACACATCTCTCGAGCTTGAACGTCGCAAGAATTGCAGATCGCTCGACCGATCGCGACACGTCATTTAACTTTGAAGAACTCGTTGCAATCAAGATGGAAACGCGCGAAGTAAAAGATAAATATGATATTTGACTCTTAAAATTAAGAAAAAAATACTATAATTATTGAACGATTATTAATCGAAACATATTTATATTTATACATTCATTTTATATATATATTTTCTATTTTTATTTCGATTATTTAAATATCATAAAAATTAAATCGACCTTACAGAAGCCTTTATTCTCACGATCGATCTAATTGGTCAGTCGTCTCCGCTTTCGCATGCGTTTCCGATATTTTATCGCTCTCTTGTTTGTGTCTTACGATGAACTTTGAAGCATCGCGATTACGATTTGCCGTGGAACGTTTGCTGACGTCGTGCACCACGACGATACGACATGATCAAGCCAGCGCTTCGCGTTGCAATGAGATCGCTAAGAATGGAATCTTATTCGCGCGACGCTGAAAGTGCATATTTATTCGATAAGACTTATTTACGAAATTTCTTCGACTCGATAACGATAACAAGTGACATCCAATTTAAATACTAATTAAAGAATTAATTTCTCTCTTTTTTTTTTGACGCTTCGAAAGCTTTGATTTGATAATTTAACTTTAACAACTTTAGCGCAACTCTGCTAAACAATTAAACTCTGCGTAAGAATTTTTGCTTTCAAATCGTTTTAAAATACAATAGCGATCTCTCGATGATTGAGCTGTGGATTCGGCCGGACATACAAAAGAATATTTTATCTCGGATCGCTCTCGTTGCTCTCTCTTTCTCTCTCTCCCTTTCTCTCTTTCTCTCTCTCTCTCTCTCTCTTCCTCTTTTTCGTGTCGAAAGGCCACGATTATACTCATACGTCTCGCACCTCTCAAAATCCCAATTAACAAATTGCTAGATATATCACGATGTCCGATAGCGATAATAGTAATCGATAATAGCTCGCTAAAAATTTCACTTCGCCTAGAACTTATCGTCTAAAATATCTCGCGCTCGCGCGTCGTCGTTTTTTAAATTCAATCTATAATCAACGACGTCGAAAATTTAACCAAAAACTTGCACAGGACCCATCGAATTATACAACTTTTTTCTTGAATTCGCTCCCGTCGTCTTCTCTCTCCTTCCGTTTCGTCTCTCGTCTGTAATCTTTCTATCTCCCAAAACGCGCGTATACAAATACATTCATCTTTTCTATTACATATTAGAGAAACGAATGCGCATATTTATGAGAGAAACGAGATGTGTAGTGAACGAAAAGACGAAGCGGAAAGAGAAAGAGAGAGAGCAACATGGAGATGAATTCGAAAAAAAAAAATAATAATAAAAGACATCAGACATTCTTTCCTTCTTGATCGCTTCGCTCCGCACGCGTTCTAATTTATCTTTCCTTTTTCTTTACGAATAAAATACGATTAAACCTCGTCGTCTAATATTGCATGCGCGTGTGAACACATTTTAAAGGTGAAACAGAAAGACGATATATTTCCTCCCTCGACTCGCGACACAGCGACTTAATGAACATGAAACGAAACAATTGTCGCCGTGCGCACACAATTGCCCGGACACTTCCTTTCTTTCTCTCTCTCTCTCGAAGATTACAATTTATACAATTTCACTTTTCTTTCTCGCTTAGGAAGAGAATCTGTGTAACGATAATAATTAGAGGACCTCGCCGCCGTCTCTCGAGACACGTTACGGTTTGGATGCCGAACAGTGTGGGCGATTTTTCACGTGATGAGAAATTTTGTGCGCTTAACTAGAATCCGAAAGATCTAAGGGCGCCACAACCCGCGGTCTTTCTTCGGCATTTCCTCGGAAACGAAGCGGAAGCTCGCGAAATTATTCACGCCAACGAAGTGCACACGAGAGTTGATATCCGGCTCTACGCGCGTGGCAAAATCTTTTGTCTCGCGACAATTTTTTTTTTTTTTTTAATTATTTTGCCACACACGATCCGTAATCACAAAGGGAAATGTATAATTTCATTGCAATTTCTCCCTGCGTCGCGGACTCTTAAGAAATATAATAATAATTGGTGACTTCACATGTGAAATAATCGAGTGATTCGCTCTGTCTCGAAACTGAGATTCGAAATTAACGAGGCGTTTTCGCTTTTTTTCACACGAATGCACTGATGTGTGTTTTGACCTCGAAAATTAAATACAATAATGTCTTAAAAGTAATCCTGATTCAATTTGTATTAATTTGACAGTTCATTATAGATATAAGTCATTGATAAATTTATAAATCTATAAAATTGAAAATCTATCGTATCAATTTCTGCTAGAGTGAATTATGCTGAAATCTAAGTGCGATTTTATTTATTAGACTGCAAAGCGAGACACAAAACGCATCATCGAGCTCGAATCCTCATCCGAACAGAACTCGTCCTATTTTGTCAAAAATTGAGGCCTTATCTATTTGAATAATAATAAAGATAGCGTTATGTCGGACACAGTGCGAGCCGTTCTGAACGCGAAGGGGACGCGCATTCTGATCGATTTATTATTATTTATTTTATTACGCACGCCGCACGCTTTTAACATAATTTGTACAATATAAAAAAATCGCTCAATTCTTCCTCGATGCTTGAATATACCATGATTGATTATTAATTTACTACTTCCTCTCTTATCCTTATCGATTTTCTTATATCGATAATCCAGAGACAAAGTTATATATAAAAGTAAAAATTATTTAACTAGGTAATAGTTCCTCATATTACAACCATGATTCTAAATTAAAGAAAAAGAACGATTTAGCTAATTCAACACTAACGTCAGGAAAATATCAATTTTTAATTCTTTCCAATTTAATTATTGCAGAGCAATTTCGTGAATCTTTATTTCATTATAAGAATTTGTGCATTTATTTGCATTCGCGTCAAATCGATATAATGCGATAACAGACTACATTTATTTCTTTTCCTCTAAACTATACATCGTTACATCAAATTGGTGCAAATGCAACAATATAAACGCACCATCCTCAAGATTAAAACTAAATTAATTTTATTAGCGTCAACTAGAATCTCAATATGGTAAATTGCAAAATATATAGCATTCGAGGTAGAATATAATCGATGACTTAAACAATACAATATGCCAGAAGAATATACAATCTAAGGCGTGTGCACGTCCCGTTACGGTTTCGTACGGCCGGCCATCTCGTGTTTTTTAATGGTATGCGTGTTGTAACGTATGTTTGATGTTTTACTTTTAAATCGGTATGTAGCATATCGTTTTTTTTAGTCGTAATAAGTATATTGATATTGAACTACCTAGCCTAATATGTACAGAGTTTCCGTTTTCACTCTTGGCACTACATTATCCCCCTACATCTCTCCTTATACACGCATACACAAACACGCGCGCACGGGTTCGCTCTTTCTTTCTTTTTTTTCCTCTCGACCCTGCAATTAGCCGCGCCTCTTGCGCGTCTTTCGTTCTACTCGTTCCGCACACGCGCGCTTGCATTTACTCGTACGCACGTCTGGTTTCGCACTCACGCAACGAACGATCATACAACAACTCGTGTCCCGTCCGTTCATTTCTTTTTTTCTCTCTCTCTTCTTTTCTTCTCCACAACCATCCACCATCGCGTGAAACCGCACTCGTCCCGTCCGGCCGTCGCGCAGCAGCCGTCCGTCGCGAATAAAATGTTATATTGGCAATAAATAATTTACTAAGTCTTTGTCGCGCGCGATGAACAAACCTCCGCGATGTCGAGCCTCCGTCGAGAGCTGGAAGAGGGTGATCCGGCGGATCCGCTTCGTTCGCTGAGTCCATATGCAAGGAATCGCTAATAAACTCATGTCTCCTCAAAACGAAGCTTCTCGCCGTGTAATTCCCGGACAAAGGAGCTTCTTATCTATCCAGGATAGGCCATCGCTTTGCGCCGCGCGTTGATGACGCCCCCGTTTTTTCACCCTGGCTTTCGATCGCCTTCTTCTTTCGAGCCTCCTTTCTCTTTCTGATGCCGACGCTCGAAGCAACAATCGTAATCTTCGTGCCACCGCTTTGGAATAATTTGAGATCTAGGCTAGACACTGGCCGCGTGTGGAATTGCACAATGACGCGTCGGCGACGATGACGGTGGCGGCGCATCGACTCTCACAATGGAAAAGACAAAAAGAACAGAGGCGTGAATCAACGCACGGCGATTAAGCGCAGTCTCGATGACTGATTTGACAATTCAGTCATTATACCAGGAGCCGGCTTCTCTATACCTCCGCCGGTTCTTCTGTAGGCCACGAACGGACGACCCTCTCTCTCACTCTCTCTCTTTCTTTCTCTCTTTCATTCTTTTTCTCTCTCACTCGCTCTCTCTCTCTCTCTCTCTCTTTCTTTCTTTATAGAACGCCGGAAGAACGATCCAACGTGGATACCATCGGCCGGGATGATATCATCTTCTTTCGCTTATATGCGATATTCGTTGCTGAACATGATGGAACGACCGATGGAATCTATTCTTCGTTGACGTTTCTTCCGATAATCAGTCTTGAAGGGCATCGTCGTTGTCGTTGCAGTCACACGAAACGATCTTGAGAACCATTGCTCGTTCTCAGAGTCGAACGATGCGACTGCGACAATGACATCGAAGAAGGAGGACGCCGCGGATCAGACCTTCTGATGGACTTGCTGCTGATGTTGTTGCTGTTGCTCTTGCCGGCTCTCATCGGTCTCGCAGGGCACCACGGTGATGTTGGACAGATTGCTACTGCTCAGATTACTGCTCACGTTACTATTGGACTCGGAATAACTGGAAAAGGGCGGTTTGCTGACCGGCACCGACGTCGACGACGGCGTCGTGTGGCTCGGGAACATCTTGAACATGGAGCGAGCGGTATTCAGCAGCAAATTGCTGCTGCTGGGGCTCTGACTTCGCGATATCCGATCGCCGGGCAGGTCGAACAGCCCCGTGTGGATGTGCTGGCTGCTACCGGGCGGTGGGGTCCGATAAGGCGGCGGACTCTCGCTGTCGAACACTGTGCGATTCGGAGGTGCCCGCACGCACTTTTGGTAAATCTCGCTCTCCTGAAAACGAGAAAGTTTATTAGTACAAAGGACAGTTTTTAGCATAGCCTTATATCATTCAAGATAGTAAAACCTGGGTCGATGTCAAGACTTGACGATATCTCTTGCGTTCATTGAATAAATTAATGTAGGACTTTATTAAAAACAATATCTAATTCAAAAGTAGGTACTCAGGATACAGTATATATTAAAAAGATATATTTTAATTTTTTAACATATTTTAAAATTTAATTCGCAAATTAACGCTTTATTAATATTTTTGACCTGATATTTTTGAGCTGATTTCTGTTAAAAAATATTAATCACAGATGACGGATTATAATGCTTCATTAATATTTTTTGACAGAAATCAGCTGATTAAAGCATTAATTTGCTAATTAAATCTTAAAATAATATATTTTAAATAAATATATATAAATGCATGTTATAATACCTACTTTAAACTCGATTAATATTTTTGACAGTTATCAGCTGATTTCTGTCAAAAAATATTAATTGAATTAAAACAAACTTTATATTATTTTTTTAAAACTATCATTCTTTTTATCATAAAATCGAAGAATGGTGCACGCGTAGCGCGCGTTTGTGTTGTTCTATTAACTAAAAAAAAATTAAATAAATAATGACAAAGAAATTGATCGTAATGCTGAAAAGCGGAAAACAGTTGATGAATCGAAGCCTCTCGCGGGTCGACAAACCCTCAGTCCCTCGCTCTTACCTGTTCCGGGTTACGGAGATGAAGATCCGAGTGCGCCCCGTATGGGTGTTCCTCGCCGTCCGGGAGCTCGAGTCGCGGCGGTAGATTGAGTGCGAGATCCTGCCGGACGCTATCCGCGCGGATCGCGCGATCTCTCGCCGCGGCGATCATCACCTCCTGTATGTCGCGACGTCTCCTAGAATCGCCGCCACCTCCGCCGCCGCCTCCACCGCCCGCCGCACCGGCGGTCGGGTCATCTCCCGCCGATGCACCGCGTCCGCTGCTGCCGACCTCCATTCCTTGGCTCACCGACAGCATCTGCAAAGGACAGACGATCGATGATTATTTTACGCCTTTGAAAAATGTCCAGGATACGATGGCGCGACATATCTGTTGTATCGTAGTAAAAATACTGCTATAAATAAATTTCCGATATTATTAGACATGTGACAGTGAAATGTAAAAGTATATTATACATATAATTAGCTCTGCTTTTTACACACTGAAAAAAAGTTGTCAACTTGACTAAATCGTTCAACTAAATTTTATTAATTGAAACATACAGAAATATTTAAATTAAAATACAATATATTAAATCTAACGAAACATACATTGATGTTCAATTAACAAAATAATTTAGCTGAAATGAGAAATCAAGTTAAAAATTTTTTTCAGTGCTGAATGATAAAAGGAGAGGTCGGTGAAAATCTCAATTAATATTCAAACATTAACGGAGTACATGTAAATGTGCAATTTTAGATTTAATTAAGAATGAGGAAAAAAGGAAAATACAATAAGAAACGAATACTCACACTAATACAAATTCGATAAACGCTGAATGTGTCAAACGCGATACTCTTGTCAGAATTTCGTTTATAACTGGTATTTTACAAGGTCATGAGTTGACTTATATACAGAGCGTTAATGATTACAAATTAATTACCACGACGACCTTAAATCTGTTTTAAATTGTTGATTATTGATAAATACGTACATATTATTATTTTGCTTTTGCTCAAATTGTTGTGTTTTAAGATTATAATCAATTCCTGTTTTTCTAAAAAATTTAAATTATTGAGACATCTGCATTGTTTGTTGAAACTATGCAATCACATAAATAAAGCATCGCTATTCCGTGAAATATTAATCAAAACGTGTTATTCCAAATTAGGCAATTTAAATTATATTATTTGATTTGTCCTATATTATTCACATTTCATTCAATACCTGACAATCGTCCTTCATGCAGCATCGCGTCTCGTGATTACTTTGTCGTTAATAGAGTTAAAAAGGAAAGAAAAGGATAATTATTCTCTCCTTCGAAAATTTCATTTTATTCCGACACAACTGATGTTTACATTTAAAAATACGACAAACTCTCTTGTTCGTCTCGCCTTAATAAGGCGTACAGGGTGGCTGCTATTATTACTCGACGTACTGTGATCATATATACCCTATAGACGATGTACAGCGGTGAATAAATTAGTGCAGAAAATGAAATTGTTCAACCATTCGATCAGGAAAGCGCCCATTACACGTGGATATAGACATTAGTGTCGTGTCGTTGCACTCGGTTCACATAAACTTGCATATAAATCATACCATTATATCCGCCGGATTAATTTCTCTGTGACATCGACTATTCATACAATCCAATACTCGAATTTGATTCGTGATCCCTTCCATCCGTATGAAATGCACATTGCTTTAAACAAAAATTATATACGTAAACCTGTCATAAACCTGCATATGTATTTTCAGATTCGCGTTTAAAAATATTTTAATGGAAACAAAAATAAATTATATTCATGTCAGAATAATATTTCAAATATAATTGACAGTATCAGAATTTAATCGCTGAACGCTACATACGGATATTCGTGAATTTAAAAATTCCACAAGACCCATCCTTTTTACTAGATTGGTTTCATAAATATCTAAATAATTTAAAATTGACCAAGGTTTAATCGATTACATATATATCTCTACTGTGTCTCCTCTTTCGGATTTCGTACATAATTCTATACATTTTACGGTGTATAATTTTAGATTCTGTATACTTCTGCGAATGGAATCGGGTTCTCGGTAAAACTACAATTAACCGAACTCATTCGGATCGTTTTTCTTCCCTTCTAGCGAAAATTTCTTCGTTCGTTCCTTCAAACACCGAAATGGATCCGGTTTGAAACATCTGCTCACGCACGCACGCACGCGTACGACACGCTCGTAAGAGGCGGGTCGAGAAACGTCACGTCGTGACAGTTGGAATGGCGAGGTTCACGGTACGCACCTCGAGAGGTAGTATAAGACGAAGAGAAGGTCGTACGAGCTTCAAGTGCCGGTGAACGGCGAAAGAACGGGGTCGCAAACATATATACCTACTCAAGATCCGCGCGCTTTCGTTTTCGTTCGATGCGTCTTTCGTACATCTGTCCAATCGATCGTAGGATCGCAGCATCGATGGATGTTTCTGCGTGAAAAAAGCCCAATCGCGATATTTATATAATATCGGATTCATATTTCTTATTTTTGACATATTTATATTTTTTTTTCTATTTTTCGAAATGCAAATATATTTTTAAACATGCTACGTCATAATAAAATAAAATTTATCACATATTTCTAATACAATTCTTATCAATTGTCAATGCAACACAGAGAATTTTCTCTTAGGATTTACCCTGGAAATCATGGCACTCGTGGGACAATATGGTGTTGAATAGAATCTTATAAGAATTTCTCTGATTAATATTTACCACAATAAAAATATTAAAAATTTTACTATGTGCATATTAATATTTTTTATTGTGGTAAATTTTATTGTCCTACGATTACGATTTTCGGGGTAAATTCTAAGAGAAAAATTCTCTCCGTGATTTAATTATTGACATTGGAACAATATATTGACAATTATATAAAAGAAAGTATGCATTATATACTTATATATGAAATATTGTATATTTTATAAAAAAAAAATACTTTTCTATTATATATCTATAATATTAAAAAGATAATATTATAGACAAAAAAATGTGCACCATTAACTTGATATGCAAGAGCAAAGATCTTGGCTATACCTCTGGACCAAAGTATGTTCCTACTTGTACGGTTTGATTTTACGACAATTTGATTGCAATTTAACGAGTGCGAAAGAAAGACAGAGAAGAAGTCTCTCTCTCTCTCTCGCGAGCATTCGCCGACACGTGCGCGCGTTAACGACCGACGCGACGGTTCGGTCGGTCGCGTTAAAGCTTTAAAGGGGTTTTCAGCACCCCTTCGCTCGCGTTCTCGCGTTCGTCCGAGGCCGTCGAAAGGGAAAGCGGAAGAGGAACGCGGCGGCTGCGACGACAACAGAGCGAGGGTGTGTGGCGCGAGACGGAGACGGCAACGACAAGAGCGACTGACACACAGAGGGATGAATGTCCCATCCCGCTTCGTGTACCACTCGTATCGATCGATTCGCGATGCAACATTACGCTCGCTCGTTACCGCTCGGTCTAACGCAGACGTGCGTCCTTTGACGAGATGTCTCGCGGATATTCTTTTTTCTCAGACTCGCATCGCAAGCGCTCTTATGTACGTCTCCCGATGACTGTTGTTTAAAGTTATTCGTTGCCATTACTTTTCTCAAAAAGAAGAAAAATTCTGTCAGTGAATGTAATTCAGAATGGCGCAGAAGAAAATGATAAAATCAGGGTCTATTTTAATGTGTACACAGAGAGAATTTTCTCTTATAATTTATTATTAGCCTGAAAATCGTGGCAATCGTGGGGAATTTTATAAGAGTTAAATCTGATTAATATTTACCACGATAAAAAATATTAATAATGTAAAACATAGTAAAATTAATTGAACATATTTTATATCTTATTGTAGTAGATATTAATATTTTTTATTGTGATAAATATTAATCAGAGAAAAAAATTCTTTTAAAATTCTTACAATACCATATTGTCCCGCACGATTACCATGATTTTTATGGTAAATTCTAAGAGAACATTCTCTCTGTGTATATTCATTACGCGATACAAGACTAAAAGAAATAAGAATATATATTCTTGATAATATTCTTATGGGAAAAGCGGAGAAATGCGATTTAAAGAGAAAATTGCCGGAACGTACGTCGAGAAACGAGAACCAATGTCTACGAGATAAAAGGATTTATAATATATAAAGCAAATATATGTATACAATATGCTATCAAGCTTTAAAACGCTTTTAAATGATCATTTTTCAAAACAGTTACAACTACTTAAAATTTGCTCATTTTTTGGACAGTTTTATTTGATCCCTTAATTATTTTGAAGAATGTATTTGATATATATACATTCTCTCCTTTTCGTATTTTATACGAAGAGGGACATAGTTTAATAGCAGATTATTTGATTAGAATTATGTCCTATTATCACAGTCGATGTGACATATGATACATGTCATCCAAAAATTTATGAATGCCTGCAGTGTTGATTTCAATTGCATCTCCATTGAATAATTCAAAATGGTGAATATAATATATGGAAAAAATGAAGAATTTTTTTCTCTCACTCCTCTTTTCGAGCAAAGTTAAACATCTGATAAAGTTGAAAAGTACTCCAAAAAGTGTGTCTGAATTTTCTTGAAAGGACTGAGAATGCAGAAATTGTTTTTATTTTTAGATGATTAATTTTTACATTTCATGTTTCCATGCTTGCATAACGCGTGAATAAATAATTCACGAAAGGAAAATACTCGTTTAAAAAAGAAAAAAAAATTAAATACTTTTTGGAAAACAATCCGGAGGCAACGCGGGAATGAACGAAGATGAAAAAGAGATACGAGGGGTTGCTCGGTCGATCGATCGGGGATAGAGTTAGCCGGTGTTCGAGAAACGCGGGGTTATACAAGCGACTTTACGGTCTCCCAAAAACCGCGCTGGCACCCTGGTGGACCATAAAACGGTAGCTCGTGGTTGCAGCAGCTCGCTCGAAACGTTACACGCCGCCGTTGCCCGGCTCGATTGAAATTGCAGTTTCAGAAAAGGGTAAACTTGGCCGGATCGATCGTTCTCGCTCGCGAGAGAGTATTGTACGCCCTGAGAAACTCGCTTTTCCCGCCTCCCTAGGGGAGTGTAGAACGTCAAAGTCGTCGGCGACAATGAAGCGATACTTCGACCAGGAGGCTTCTCGCCGACGTACGTAACTTCGGAATACAAAGTTCAATTCTCGACGCTCCGCAGTCACGCGATCGATGAATCTCTGTATTGTCGGTTATTTTCGTCGCTCATATCGGAATACTCAAATGACGGATATCGAGATCGAAAGCGAAGACGTATTTCGCAA